TTTTGTGGCCGACCCCAGCGGCAGCCGGCACAGGGTCTCCATCCATGAGCAAAGCCCCACGGCAGCAGGATGGGGAGCCCCTTGCTGGGGCTATGCTGCAGCATCCGAGCTGGCTATCCCACCTGGGATAACCGTGTCTGACCACGTTCTGCTCGCCCCAGCCGGGGAAAATGCCGGGCTTGTCCCTGGGCTGGCTGTAGCTGGGATGTGCCGGCACAGGGAGGTGAGGCGGACGCTTCCCGGCATCTCGGGTTATTAAAATGAATTTGCAGCTGGACTCTTTGGAGACTTGGTTCCACAAAACTCATGAAACCTGAGTTTTCCCAGGTCTCCCCAAATCCAGGCCAAGTCCCATGTGGGACACACCGGGCTAATGGCATCGGCATCCCTGGCATCCCTCCCCAGCCCAGCCACGTGTGATGCTCGAAGGGATGGTGGGACACGCACAAGCGTTGCCTACTGCCCCCTCGGCCTGGTGCATCTGCCCCAGCTGCATTTAACTCCTGGGGAGACCTGGGGGATCGTCTCGGCTCTGCTGTGGACCCTCCCAGTGCTGCCTGGACCTCCCCAAGCGAAGCTGCTGAATCTTTTGGCAGCGCTGATGGGGAGGAGCATTTCCAGTTGCGGCAGCAGCAAGATGATGGCAGCAGTGCTGTTAGTCCTGAAATCTGACATCCTTAGGGAAAAGGCTTCCTGTCATTGGCACAAAATAGGATGTTAGAAGGATGGGGCTGGCAAAAGCCACCCGGCACCGTGTGTCCGGTGCTGCTTCTCCCATCAGAGAGGCAGGAGCAGGAACCCACCTTTACGTGGTGGCAGCAGCGGAGCAGCAAGGGGGTTTGCTTGTGTTAGAATTGCCTTCTGTCGCAAGATTCAGGAAGGGTATCAAGGAAAAAGTGCTCTTGTTGGAGAAGCCCATGTGACAGCCACTGACTACGACTGGGTTTGTGTTTTCATGCAGAATTTGTTCATTTTGGGGTCAGGTGCTGGGCTCGTAGCCAGCTGGTTTATGTGGGAAACTGGGTGGCTCTGAGCCTGTTTGATGCCACAGTTCAGCTCTCAACAAGGCAGAAACTCCTGGAGAATCCTCCTGCGAGTGCCCAGGGAGCGGGGTAGGTATTTGCTCAGCAGGTTTGGGATTCTGTGGCCACTGTTTCCCTTATTTGCACACCTGAAGGAGCTACAAGAGCCCCTTCTCTCCATCCCCTCAGCTCTCCTGGGGAGGTGGGAAGTTTTGCAGCTGCGGTGCCGTGGAGTCCCTCTC